TACAATAATGAAATGTGATATTGATATTCGAAAAGAATTATATCAAAATATTGTTCTTTCAGGAGGTAATTTCATGATTTTTTATTTAAATTTAGATTGATTTTATTTATTATTTTTAGGAACAACTATGTTTCCAGGTATTGCTGATCGAATGCAAAAAGAAATAACAGCATTAGCTCCTTCAGCCATGAAAACTCGTATTATTGCACCTCCGGAAAGAAAATATGCAGTATGGATTGGTGGTTCAATTCTTAGTTCATTGGCAACATTTCAAACAATGTGGATTTCGAAACAAGAATATGATGAATCTGGTCCATCAATTGTACATCGAAAATGTTTTTAAAAAGCAATAAATATATTTGATGTAGATAAGGAAATATTTATTTCATATTTAAAATAAAGTTTATGAAACAAAAATCTTGTTTGTTTGATATATTATTAACTTCGTAAACTAGGAATTTTGTAACATACAGTTCGATGCGTCTTCATCTTCTCTCTGCAACGATGAAAACCACAGCTGTCTATCTTGCTTCTATCAAAATTTGTTCAAAAAATATCCACCTACCGTTTCATTTATAGAGTAGAAAAGCATGTTTAGATTTCACTTCACATTCATTGTGGCATCCTTTATTTATTGACTCGAATGAGTTCTATTGTCAGTTTGCTCTAAAAGAAAGCTTCAGTCTAACTTTTCAATACAATCATATTCTGAAAGATATAGTAGTCGTTGCCGATGCTACGTACAAGCAGGTGAACGATATAAAACTTTCTTCAATCATCATTTTTTTGCCACTATCATTGAAACTTATAGTGACAACTTTCGTAATATATTCACCTATTTTTAACCTATAGTTTTATAGATTGTTTTCAATGACACAATTTAAATGAAAAAAAAACTCAGACAGACAAACAACAGAACAGCAAAAAAATGCTTTGCATAGTAATACTATCCGAATTCTCACCTCGATTGGTTGCAACAGCAACAAATCAACAATATGACTTAAATAAACTTGACATTGAAATGCTATCAGCATATATTTTTTTAACAACACTAATGAAATTATAAAGCCAAACAAAATGTCATCCAACTGCATGCAAGATTTAAATCCTATTGTGATTGATAATGGTTCAGGTAGAATCAAGGCCGGTTTTGCTGGTGATGGCCAACCAAGCATAATTTTTTCCACTGTTATTGGCCGTCTATGTCATTCCACAATTGTGCCCGAAACCAGTCTCAAAGATCAATATATTGGAGATGAAGCAATAAAAAACAAAGAAATTCTATCGATTCATTATCCAATCGAACATGGTATTGTTACGAATTGGGATGATATGGAAAAAATTTGGCATCATACATTTTATAATAAACTTCATGTTCTACCAGAAGAACATCCAGTTTTGCTTAGTGAAGCACCATTGAATCCTACAGCTAATCGTGAAAAAATGGCACAAGTTTTTTTTGAAACATTGAACACACCTGGTAATAATTTCTCTTTATTTGAAGACAGACGACATAGACATGTGTAGGACCAATTGTGTCATTCCAAGTTCCGCTAAGGGCCGAATCATCATGCTCATATTTAATATTGTACTTGTGTTTTTGTTTAGCTATTTATGTGGCAATGCAATCTATTCTTGCATTTTATGCAAGTGGTAGAATAGCTGGAGTTGTTCTTGAAATTGGTGATGGTGTTGCACATTCAGTACCAATTTTTCAAGGTTGACATTTTTTTTTCTTCATATTGTTCAGTAACTAATTGAGTTTTAGGTTATGTTTTGCCAAATGCAATTAATCGTCTTGATTTAGCTGGACGTGATTTAACTGATTTTATGGCTCGATTATTAGCCGAACGTGGTTATGCATTTACGACGACAGCTGAACGTGAAATTGTTCGTGATATTAAAGAAAAACTCGGCTATGTTGCATTAGATTTTGAACAAGAATTAGCAACTGCAAATCGTTCAAATGGCATAGAGAAGAATTATGAATTACCAGATGGTCAAATCATCAGTATTGGTAATGAACGTTTTCGATGTTCGGAAGCTCTTTTTAAACCGATGATGATTGGTCAACAAGAATTAGGTATTGCTGAAATGGTTTATAATACAATAATGAAATGTGATATTGATGTACGAGATCGATTGTATCGTAGGATACTCTTATCAGGAGGTGAATTGGATTAAAATATTTACAAATCATGGATATAAAACTGATTATTTATAGGAACAACTGTCATGTCGGGTTTGGTGAATCGATTGCATAAAGAAATGATAGCATTAGCTCCGCATGTAACCAAGATTCGAGTAATTGCCGAATCAGAACGAAATATTGCGGTGTGGCTTGGTGGTTCAATTCTTAGTTCATTATCATCATTTCAAAGAATGTGGATAACAAAACAAGATTATAATGAATTCGGTCCATCGATTGTACATCGAAAGTGTATGTGATCATAGGAAAATTTTTATGTATTTAATTATTTTTTTATATTTTAATAAATATTCTATATGACATTAAAAAGTGTATTCTATTCTCATTTAAACGCTGTCCATAGATAGATCTTCTTCTAATCTGATTGGTTCCTACTTACACTCATAATCCAAACTCGATTGATAATTAATAGTTGGATATATTCCTTAGTTAGATTATATATTGAAGAAATCTAGAAAACGTAACTTTGTCAGAACATAGTAATCTAGATAACCGCACTGAAGTTTGTTTGATTCATAGTTTAACCACAATAAGGGTTAAAATCATAGTATCAAGTTTGTTGTCATATGATTTACCTTGCGTTAATCGGCTGTTAACCAACAATTTGAAAGCTAAATACCAATGGCTCATTTTTAACCAACAGAAAAGAATGAACAAGTGAGCCAAAATACCTTATATGGTCATATCAATACAACATTTACCTTCATTGGTTAAAACGGTATCCATTCACTCATATATCAAAAACCAAGCGAACTATAATACTGATGATGACCTAACTTTCTCTCTCATTGAAGTAATTCTATAACCAGTACATTTTCCAAACAAATGTCATTCAACACTGAAGATGAATTATATTCTATCGTCATTGATAATGGTTCTGGCACAATCAAAGCAGGTATTGCTGGTGATGATTCACCTCGAGTAATTATTCCTAGTGTAATTGGTCGTCCACGTCATCTGAAAACTTCAACTGAAACGACTCAAGCAGATCTATCCATTGGGCACAAAGCATTATACAGGAAAGATATTTTATCTATCCATTATCCAATTGAACATGGTATTGTTACAAATTGGGATGATATGGAAAAAATTTGGCATCATACTTTCTATGATGAACTTCGTGTTGCACCAGAAGAACATCCTGTTTTACTTACTGATGCACCATTGAATCCTAAAGCAAATCGTGAAAAAATGACACAAATTCTTTTTGAACAATTCAACACGCCTGGTAATAATAAACAGCTTTTTGTATTTTAAATTATATTGAACTTGATTTTTTTTTTCGGATATATTAAGCTATGTATGTAGCAAATCAGGGTGTTCTTTCATTTTATTCCTTGGGTAGAACAGCTGGTATTATTCTTGAAAGTGGTGATGGCGTTTCGCACACTATACCAATTAATGAAGGTAAATTTAGTTTTTTTTCTCTTGATTGCAATAATTGAAATCTGTAGGTTATGCTATACAACATGCAATTAACCGTCTTGATATAGCTGGACGGGATTTAACAGATTTTATGGCTCGATTATTAGCCGAGCGTGGTTATGCATTTACGACGACAGGTGAACGTGAAATTGTTCGTGATATTAAAGAAAAATTAGCATATGTTGCATTAGATTTTGAACAAGAATTAAAAACTGCAAATCGTTCGAATAGTATCGAGAAGAACTATGAATTACCTGACGGTCAAAAGATAACAATTGGTAATGAATGTTTTCGATGTTCGGAAGCTCTTTTTAAACCGACAATGATTTATCAACGAGAATTAGGCATTGCGAAATTACTTAATGATGCAATAATGAAATGTGATATCGATATACGATCAGTTTTGTATGCGAATTCTCTTTTGTCCGGAGGTATATTATTTTTTATACTTATAAGAACTTATTCATAGTAGAGTATTCGAAGGAACAACTATGCTTCCGGGTTTCGCTGAACGAATGAAAAAAGAAATGACAGCACTCGCTCCACCAAATGCAAGAGTTCGTATTGTTGCTGCATCTGAACGAAAGCTTAGTGCATGGATTGGCGGTTCTATTCTATGTTCATTATCAACATTTCAAACAATGTGGATAACAAAACAAGATTATAATGAATACGGACCATCGATTGTGCATCGAAAATGTATTTGATAGTATGAAAATTCTTTTAATATAGTTATTTTTTTATATGTTAATAAATACTTTGCATGACATGAGGTAGTTTGTTGTGTTCTCACTTAGAAGATTGAAAATAATGCATTTTGCTTCTATGTTGCTCACCGATCGAGCTCATATTTAAAAAATATGATATCTGTGATGCCAAACACTGGGTTAAAGTATCTATGCTGAGCTACAAGATGTTACAAAAACATCAATGAAAAAACACAGTAATTACTATAAGAAATCGGAGAGATACTATTTTAATATGGTATGCTTAATTACTCTCCAAAACTGAATAGATTTACTGGAATTGGAACTAATATCGGGAGATTGCTTCTCTTCCAAAAACAACTTAGCTGCGATGTCTTTCAGATCAGGATCACAAAATGCATTTCATTAAAACTCTATTTTTAAAATATATTTTGGAATTCATGTGAGTTCACTTAGTTTCTGATAGAGAATTATAATATCATGTTCATTTTTATCGAAATCTACTAAATAACATGAGAAGAAGCTAAAAACTAATTTCTCTCAAAAGCGCTATCAAACGATATATAAACTAATAGTCTGGATGTAGATGTGGTTGGAGCACAGCATAACAAAGTGCAATAGACTCAATTCTACTGGAGATCACTTTGCAGTATCTTGGATATGAGTTTGACATGACAAAAACCATATTTCTCTAGGAAACTGATTTCATCAGTAACTCATCTTCCTCCTTTCAGCCCAAATGACGACTATCTATCGACCACAAGACATCTCTATAGATAAAATTTCAGGTCAATATTTTTTTACTCGACTTTTTTCATATAGGTCTTATCACTGATAGAAAAAACTAGTAGAATGTCATAACTTGAAAATAACAGTATGTACGAACGAATTCTCTCTAAGTTGTTCTGATCAGTTGGGTACGTTTCCTTGTTAGATATATTGAAGAAATCTACGAAACTTAAGTTTATTAAAATGTAGCAAGAAGACTGATCGATCTAATGACAAGTTTGTTTTCATATTGTCTATCTCGTTTTTACCTGTTGTTAAGCAGTAGTTTTAAAACGAAATTTCAATGGTTTAATTTTAACCAACAGGAAAGAATGACCAAGTGAGCCAAAATACCTTATATGGCCATACGAATACAAAACTTACCTTGATTGGTTAGAATGATATCCATTCATCCATATATCAGAAAACAAACGAATTAATAGTCAAAATGAAATAACTCTCTATAATTAAAATAATTCTACAACAAGTGCACTTTGCAACCGAATGTCATTCAATATTGACGATGAAACATACCGTATTATTATTGATAATGGTTCTGGCACAATTAAGGCCGGTTTTCATGTTGATGATAAACCTCGAGTAATTTTTCGTACTGTAATTGGTCGTTTACATCATCTGAAAACTCTAGATGAAACGACTCAAGCAGATCTATTTATTGGACAAAACACATTAGACAGTAAAGAAATTTTATCTATTTCTTGTCCTATCGAACAAGGTATTATTACAAATTGGGATGATATGGAAAAAATTTGGCATCATACTTTTCATAATGAACTTCGTATTTCACCAGAAGAACATCCAGTTTTACTTAGTGAAGGACCATTAAATCCTAAAGCTAATCGTGAAAAAATGGCAAAAATAATTTTCGAGCAATTTAATACGCCTGGTAAAATTAAATACCTCTTTGTATTTTAAATTATATTGAACTTCATTTTTTTTTGTTGTTATCTTTAGCTATGTATGTAGCAAATCAGAGTGTTCTTTCATTTTATTCTTTGGGTAAAACAGCTGGTGTTATTCTTGAAAGTGGTGATGGCGTTTCATACACTGTACCAATCAATGAAGGTAAATTTGATTTTCTTTTTTTCTCTTGATTGCAATAATTGAAATCTGTAGGTTATGCTATACCACATGCAATTAACCGTCTTGATATAGCTGGACGTGATTTAACTGATTTTATGGCTCGATTATTAGCCGAACGTGGTTATGCATTTACAACGACAGCCGAACGTGAAATTGTTCGTGATATTAAAGAAAAACTTGGTTATGTTACATTAGATTTTGAACAAGAATTAGCAAGTGCAAATCGTTCGAATAGTATCGAGAAGAACTATGAATTACCAGATGGTCAAAAGATAACAATTGGTAATGAATGTTTTCAATGTCCTGAAGCACTTTTTGTACCAACTACAATGGGTCGAGAAGAACCTGGTATTGCTGAAACGGTTTATAGTACAATAATGAAATGTGATCTTGATATTCGAAAAGAATTATATACGAATATTATGCTTTCGGGAGGTGAATAATAAAATAAGATCATAAAATAATGCGACTCATATTCTAGCTCGTGTTTTTTTTTCTATAGGAACAACTATGTTTCCAGGTATTGTTGAACGAATGCAAAAAGAAATAACAGCATTAGCTCCATCAACAATGAAAACTCGTATTGTTGCTCCACAGGAACGAGAATATGCAGTATGGATTGGTGGTTCAATTCTTAGTTCATTATCAACATTTCAAACAATGTGGATAACAAAACAAGAATATAATGAATTTGGTCCATCGATTGTGCATCGAAAATATTTTTAACTATGAATATATATATATATGTATTTTATGTACATATTATTGTTATATTGTATTAAAAGCTCTTTGATTATTCAAATAGAATAAGAAAACTTATTGCGACAATATAATCTGTCAGAACGTTGTAAAGTTGTGTTGATCTTAAGTTTTACTAAGAGAATATTATCATCATCTCTCTTATGCCTTGTTATAATTCTTACGTCTCGTTCAATGTATTCATCCTTCAAGATTCACTATTTCTTTAAATTCACTAATACTTCATCTATTCTACACGTTTATGTGAAACAGAAAATATTGAAGTAGTTGTTCGATACTCTTTACTAAAATTGAAAATCTCATTTTTCTGCATTTTCAACTTCCAGATGAATATCTTATAATAAAATGTTGAGTCAACTTTAGAATAAAAACTTTCCGCTGCCTATGCCTCCAGATGTCAGTCTAAGACAAAGTGATCGACAAAAAAAAAGCGACAATCCTAATTCCACATTTGCCCAATTCGATGATTGCTTGTTTTTTTTTTATGCATACGTACACTCACAATTAGATACACTAAAGAAACTATTAAAGTAGTTGATTGAGAAAAAGAAAATTATATATTTATATAATATGGCAAATCAACAGTCAAATGACAAACGTGTAACTACATTTTCCTATTTAAAAAAAAAAAAATCTTATTAAAAATAAATTATATTAATAGAATGATGCTCCTTCAGCTCGTCCTTCACCTTTAGGTGGAACAAGTGGTGATAATCAAGCACGTAAACGTTTATTTTCTAAAGAACGTAATTATTATTACATTATTTTATCATTCTTAAAGTAAAATATTATTATTATAATTTAGTTCGTAACATGATGTATGGTTTTGGTGATGATCCACAACCATATGCTGAATCAGTTGAATTACTCGAAGATCTTGTTGTACAATATATAACTGATATGGTAAAAAAAAAAAATTTTTCTTTTCGTAAATATTTTTTTCTTTTATATTAGACATTAGAAGCAGCTGAAATTGGTAGTAATAAACAAGGTCGTATTGTAGTTAATGATATTTTATATTTACTTCGACATGATCCAAGAAAATATGCACGTGTTAAAGAACTTTTATCAATGAATGAAGAATTAAAAAGAGCTCGAAAAGCATTTGATGAACCATCAAAAGGACTTGAATAAAATTGTAAAATAAATTTTTCTTTTCTTTTTTTTTTTCAGATTTAATATGAATTTATATATTTATTTATTTATTATATTGAATTTCTTTATTATTAATGTTCATTCATTAATAGATGGTCTTTATTGTGGTAAAGATAATTGTTATGATTTATTAAATGTAACACGTACAGCTACTAAACAAGAAATAGTTAAAGCATATAGAAATTTAGCTAAAAAATATCATCCTGATGTAGCAAAAACATTGACAGATAAAGAAATTTATACAGAAAAATTTCGAGCTTTTGCTAATGCTTATGAAATTTTAAGAGATGAAGAAACAAGAACAGATTATGATCGAATGTTAGATAATCCAGATCAGTATGTTATTTATTATGTTAAATATTTTTATTAACTATCTTGTTTTTTTTTTGTTTAAAGATATTATACACATTATTATCGTTATTATCGACATCGATATGCACCTAAAGTTGATGTTCGTCTAGTTTTATTTATTCTTATATCTGTTATTAGTGCAATTCAATATTATAGGTTGATTTAGAAGAAATTATTTGTAAAAAAAAATACAAAAATTTTGTGTTTTCTTTTTTTTTTCTAGTCAATATAGTAATTATAATACAGCGATTAATTATCTCATCACAGTACCAAAATATCGTATACAAGCTCAAGAAATTGCTCGACAAGAAGGTTTGCTTGGAAGTAACACTGAATTATCGAAAAAAAATCGTGGACGAAAAACTATAAGTAAACAAGAAGAAGAAGCTATTTTAAAACGAATTGTCGAACAAAAACTTGATATTAAAGGTGGTTATAAGAAACCAAGTAAGTTATAGATATTTTTGTGTACTCAAAAAGTGAGTACATTATAGAATCGGTCAGTGTGTCCGTCCATCCGATCGTTTACACGATAACTTTCGAAAGGAGAGTCAGATCGTGATGAAATTTTCTACACAGTTCAGTCTCATCAATGTCTCGGTCGAGTTCGAAGATGAGAAGGATCCGTCAAGAAATGGCTGAGCTATCGAAAAAATTATCATTATTGACCAGACCATCCCTGAGGGGGGGTACAGGGATTTTTTTCAAAAAAAAAATTTTTTCTCAGAATTATTCACAACATATATAAATCGACTCAGTTTTTAACGCTGATTCCGAATCTGATATTAGTTTTGAACCAAATCGTAGCTTTCTAACAAAACATCGCCTGAAAAATGTCTCAAAATGCACAAAAACCGCATCCAGAAAGCAAATTGCCTAGATATGTCTCAGATGATAAAAAACAAAGTGAATATACCTATTCACTTTTTGAAGTACACATAACACTCGGATTTAAATCCGAGGTTTTCGCATTTTTTTTTTCTTAAACTAATAAGATTTAATATGATAAAATTTATATTAGTAAATGAAAACATTATTGTTATATATTATTTAGGTATTAAACGTGTACTTTGGCTTCAATTAGTACTTTTTCCATATTATTTATTTTTAAAATTACAATGGCATATACGATGGATTTATAAATTTCATATAAATAAACATGAATTAGGTGAAGATGAAAAAATCTATTTAATATGTCGATATTTAAAAATAAATCGTGAACAATATGAATCACTTTCTGAAAAAGAACAAAATCAAATATGGGAAAGAAAAATATGGATAAAAGAAAATTTTCTTCAATGGAAAGCTGAAAAAGATGATGAACAAAAGAAAAAATTAAGTGAATCTGGTCGTTATAAAGCTTATCGTCGGTATGTAAAAAGTGGTGGACCTGGACAAATCACATTTGATCCTGATTAATTAGTTTTATTTTTCATTTTTGTTTTTTTTTTTTTTCTTTACAGTCAGATTTTTTCTTTTTTTTTCTTCAATTAATTCTTTTAATATATAAACAAAAAAAAAAAAAAAGAAAAGGAAACGTATATATAATTTACAGTCGGTAAATAGATGATCATGTATCTAAACACTACACAGAAAAAGAAGAAACTGCATCACTCACTGTATAACGACTTATTATCTACAGAAAATAAAAAGAAAGATTAATTACTACTAATAGTGACCGTTTGTTTAATATCATTGTCAGTTGTTATTGTATTTATATTTCGTTTTAATGATGTGATTTGTCGATCAGCACCATATGCAACAGACATATTTGTTTCTAAATTAAGCGATTTTTTTACTTGACATCGACTAAGTATATCATTTAAACGAGTATCTTCACTTGAAATAACATGACTAAAGAAAAGATTGTATGAAATATTTTCTTGTTTTTGTTTTTTTTTTTTGTATAATTAATATTTACTCTCGTTTTAAATGTTGTCTCATTAACATACGAGATTTACAACCAACTGAACAAAAACAACATACATATGTATCAAAATCTTGATGATAAACCATATGTGATGTTAATTTATCTTTACGAAAAAAAAAACGACCACAAATATTGCAACCATAACGAACTTGTCTATCATGTATTGATGTTTTATGACGAATCATTGTATGAACACTACTAAATACTTTATTACCTAGAATATTACTTATTCTTTTGTTAAAATCAATAAACAAAACAATATTCTTACAAATTGGACATGCTGCTTTTGTATCGAGTCGAGCAGTAATTCCTTCATCCTAAGAATAAAAAACACAAAAACGATAATCAATAGAAAATTTTCTTGTTTTTTTTTTTTTATTTTTTGCTTTTCTTAATACCAATTCATCTTGAAAAGGATCGAATAATGGTGAAACTGCAGGCGATGGTTGAGAATCAGAACTTTCCGGTGCCTATAAAAATATCATAAAACAAAAATATTAAATATTCGTGTTAATGAATTCAATAAACTTTTTGAACTCAAATCTTATTTATATAACTCATTGAATATGCTAATCTCAATATTGTAGGTTTTTTTTTCTTCGTAAGATTAGATGCCATGTAATTTTACTATGCTAAGAACTTCTTGAGGGTGTAGATATGAGTGTGAGATAGTAAAAAAAGATTATTCTATATCCATATCTGTATTTAAAATGACTTGAAATATATATATAGCATTGACATAAATATTGATAGGGAGTCACCAACATTACTGATTACATTGAGATATCAATTCTATTGAAATATATCCTTTTATAAAACATAATCTAGAAGAAATGTTGAAGTTTATAGAGTAGAAATTTGCACCTCTCCCTCAGGGACCGTGACAAAAGTTGCTCATAGACGATCAACAACTGTTAATCAATAACATCTTATTACATGTCTAGAAGATTAATTAAAAAAGATGACAAAAAAAATGTATTTCAAAATAAAACAATCTCTCTATGATGAAAAACAGCAGCTACATCATGTTTCACATATTAATCCTGTGGGGGGTTGCACTAACGAAGAAAATCTCTCACCACTTATAAATCGAGACTAGATGTATTGTATAGATTCAAATGATATCAATGCCATAATTTAGAAAAATCAATTGTCAATTTGAAATTTTATAAAGAGACAGGCTTTAATAAGTGTACCATTCGAATCTCATTAATGTACTTAGTCTCAACTTAAAAGTGATTGACTCGTTTGAGAATTTCTTTTGTGAGTTAGTAAATTGAAATTTAATAAGATTTTTAGATTTATAAGAGTTCTATTATATATATATATATAGATTTGGAATGTTGATATGTTTATGTAACAGATATATCTAACAGCGAACAAAAATATTTATGCAATATTTTTTTTTTGTGACCTTCTTCATTGTAAAAACATCTGGATACCGTACATATAGGAAGCGCTTCTCTTTAAAAGTAATATGATATTCATAAAGCTATGTTTATTTATATGAAAGACTATGAAAATATTCGATAAGATAAGCCTAACACTATAAAAACAACATGTCGCAGATAGAAAAGATTTTATAACTAATCAAACAGAAACAATTTTTATTTTATCATTTGAAATATATCAATTATTGCAAAAAATTTAAAGATTAGATTGAAGTTTACTTTGAATAATAGCACGAGAAAGAGAGAGAGATAGTATTGTAAAAAAAATTTGTCATATAAGTACAATTCATTTGGATTTCCGATAAGTTCGACAAATTAAAAAAATAAATAGAAACCTTTAGTCAAGTAAATTTCACTCAAAGTTGTTTTTTTTTTGCATTTTCAAATTTAATAGGTTTCAAGTAAAATAGAAATTTAACTACAAAATACTATTTTTAAAGAAAAATTTTCAATGTATATTTGAAAAGAATGATAATGATTAAAAAAAATATTTTATATCATAGATTTTAGTAAAATAACATACATTGACTGTTGCATCAGATGTACACATGCCATTATTAGCATGTTCTTGTCCAAGTAATAGACTATCAAATGTTTCATGACATTGAGTACATTTGAAATGTGTTGGTCCTGTTGGTGAACATGCTCTTGGATCAGTGAATGCAACAAGCATTGGACGTCGATGTATAATTGCAACAGTTTTACCCATTTCACTATCATGTATAAGTGCAGGTGATGGTGATAATGGTTCATTATTAACTGATTTAAGTGTTATCATTTGTGCTTGTTCATGTCTATCATCATCATGATTATTTGTTGAATTAGTTATAGTACTATTTGTAGCACTTGACAATGATGGTGTTGTCCATAAATCATTTGAATAAATAAAATTTGATATTGTAGTTTTATCTGGTGATAGAACAGCATCAATATCTTCTAAACATCGTGATTCATCACTTGATAATTCAATATCACTTTCAGTACGATGTGTTTCAGTATTCATTATTTCTAATAAAAAAAAAAAAAAAAAATTAGAATTAAAATTAAAAAAAAAAGAAAAAATCTAAAACCTGGACTATTTCCATAGTTTTTTATAGTTGTTGCTGACCATGATGAAATTAATGATGATGAATTTAATGTTGTTGTTGTTGCTGTTGTTGTTGATGGTGGTGTATCAATCATTAATCCTCGTTGTCGTTTTGATATTGATTCATGTGTATATTGTTGATGTTTTAAATCCGTTTTGACTGAAAGCATTGGTGTACCTGGTGGAGAACTTGTTTCAACATTAGTTGTTTCACGTATTGTTATTTCAGCTGAAAATGATCGACCACAAGGACATGTAAAACGTTGATCATTATTTATTTTTGCTGGTGTTAAATTTGAAACTAGAAATAATCATATTGAAACTTCTATAATTTAATGTTATTTATTTTTGTTCAGACTTATATCAATTACTTATGTTATATATAGAATATATTACGTCGTAAAAAACACTGATCATATTCGAAAATGATTATTTTTTTTTCCTCAGATATGAAATTTTAATATAACGTTAAACCTTTATCAGTTGTTTCTGTTTTTTTTTCAACAAAAAAAAAAACACATCTAAAACTTACCTAAAGTTGATTCACGATATTTAGAAAGTATACCATCAAGCCATCTCATCAGTAAATCAATTTGATGACTTTTAGTCTGTTCAATAGCTTTACTAATAATTAATCGAATTTCTTCAAATTCCATATTATTTAGGCTAGAAATTAAGAAAACAAAACCAAAAAAAAAAAAGGTAACACCTTAAAAATTTTCAATTATAACTAAACTAGTCATGATGTTTTTTTTTTTCTATTTTTTTTTTTTTTTTGTTTCTTCTGTTCCGAATAAATAAAACAAACGGCCAGCGCCACACATCGTAAAAGTCATGCAAATATGTGGCGCTTCTTATTATTGATTGGTTTTTTTTGGTAATATAAAAAGAAGAAGAAGAAAAAAAAAAAGCAACAACTGATGTGTTGTTGTGTAGAATTGTAAAGACGAAAGAGGGCAACTTTGAGGATGGTTCAATGCACCCACGCATTAATTGAATTGTTTATTTTAGATTATTATTATTATTGTTAATATTATCTTGATTTATTTATAAATGATGAATATTGATCAATAAATAAATAATATCTTGTTAGTTGTTATTTTATTATTATTATTTTTTGTTCTTATTCTAAACATTTTTTAAATCAAAACAAAAACAAAAAAAAAAATAATGGAATTACGTGTTGGTCATAAATATCGTCTTGGACGAAAAATTGGTTCGGGATCATTTGGTGATATTTATTTAGGTACAAATATAGCATCAAATGAAGAAGTTGCTATTAAACTTGAAAGTTCACGTACAAAACATCCTCAATTACATATTGAATCAAAAATTTATCGTCTTATGCAAGGTGGTGTTGGAATACCAGTTATTAAATGGTGTGGTGCCGAAGGAGATTATAATGTACTTGTTATGGATTTACTTGGACCATCATTAGAAGATTTATTTAATTTTTGTTCAAGAAAATTTTCACTAAAAACTGTTCTTTTACTTGCTGATCAAATGGTATGAGAAAAAAAAAAAACAGAAAATAATAAATTAATACTAATGATCTTGTAAAAAATTAATATAATACATTTATATGTTATGTTCGCACTAGGTCGTAGAGTACTGTCAGTTAGATCTATGATAAATATTATATATTAATAGATTTGAATCTTTTCATGAAAGGAAATGTGTATATATATATATAGATATAAATATAGACAATTCCCATCCCGATAGAATTAAAGAAAACTATGTAATATTTCTAAAGAAGTTGATTGTAAACAAAATGTGATTTATTGAATAGAATAAGTTTAAAATTGGTTAATATAACAAAGAAATTGAATTTTAAAAAAAAGACCAACTAAGATTTCTTAATATTAATAATAGATATCTGATTATGACATAATTATTTAAGATCTAAAACTTTTGAAAAAGACGGTAGGTGATTATGGTTGTATTGAAC